CTGCAAGGACTCGTCCAAGCAGTCACTGCAGGGTCAGCAATGACTGAGCGCAGACAAAAAAAAAAAAAAAAGATTAAGACTGTTAGAAGTAAAAGGAAGGAATATAAAGTTGGTTTATTTGATCAAGGTTAAAATAAGACTTTTTTTTGCAAGGATCTGGCAATCCTTTACAGACTTTTTGCTCACACCAGGATTGAAAAGTTGATATTTTATGGATTTGCTTACAGATAAGGGATGGGATATGGGATGAAGAGATATCTATTTGTAACATTATAGGGAGTGAAGAGTTACCAAATTTGTCTATACTTGTAATGAAGGTTGGAAGTAACTTCTTTATATATTTCTTTTCTTTTTCTTTATTATATTCTTGCTTTTCTCTTTCTTCTTTTTCTTTTTTCCTGCACTTTTCATTCTTTCTAACTATTCTCTTTTCTTTCTTTAAGTTTAGTTCGTATTAGTTTTACTATTGTAATCAAAATCCTTAATAAAAACTATATACGAGAGAGAGAGAGAGAGGAGAGAAACTTGAACTACAAATAATTCAAAATTTGAATTATTTATTTATTTATATATCAAATTTGTCACCGCCCATCTCATTAAAAAGTGACTCTTTCCAGGTCATTACTTAGGTCAGTGGCAATTATTCCTGTACCCTGCTTTCTTTTTAAAAAGTAAAATAATTTATTACAGAAACAAAGAGGCAGAATTTTTTATAATAGGAGTCTCCTCAGTGTTCAAAACTAAGCTTCCCTAGAAAGAAATATAGCGCACATTTTCCAGAGCTGTAAAAGTTTAATGCTGTCACAATTTACTGAATTTACTGATTTATGAACTGACCAAGCTGGAATACTTGAATGTAACCCAATGCATTCCAATTTACTTGAACTAACAGTACATCTTTAAAACATTACATGAAAATCCAACTGCTTCATAGTTTCTTTAATTACATTGCTGACAATCATAAATACAATTACTTTTTTCAAATTTTAATAAAATTATTAATAAATACATAATAAAACAAAAATAAAAGAGTTGCATTGTTCAAGGATTGCACAGATTGTTCAAGAAATAAAAAAGCTAGGAGTTAGATTCCCAATCACCATAGCACGAATGGATTCTCCTCCTGCCTGCAGCCCCACTTCATGCTCCCAAAATCTGTTCCAGGAAATTACATTTACCAAAAATAGCCAGAGAGCATCCCAGATCCAGAATCCTACATTGCTGGTCCCACTTCTCCTGTAATAGCAATCAGTTCTTAGTTAACTTAATGGCAAGAAAGAAAAATTAAGGCATGACATTTTAAAAAAGAGATTACAGGATTCTCCCTTCCCATCCAAGCAAATCTGAGAAGGAACAGAATAAAAAACAAGAGATTCTGCTAACCAAATGTTAGTTTGCTTATGCAATATTGAAAAAAAAATCTCAGTTATGCATTTATGTTTCTATAGGACATTTTAAAAAGTCTCCCAGCTCACATTTTACCTGTAGTAAGAGGTGCAGATGGCCCCTTCAGACCCGCACTCTCTACAATGGTGCCATCTGTGTGAACCACGATCAGAGTGGCTTTTTCAGCATTCAAGCTGTCCCCAATCTGAAGAGCTGTTCTTCCAGACTGCAGAAAAAATAAAGAACTTTAGCAAAAGTAACTTACTGAAGGGCTTGGATTTTTATGTTTCTTAATTTGTAAAAATTCCTAACAAATTCCCATAGAAATATCAAGTTGTATATAGGGAAGACCATAAGAGGAATAATCAAATCCCTTTCTTCCACATCCAGGTGTATGGAGATTGAGATGCCATTCCCAGAATCCTGCTGTGTTAATGTGGAATTACAGGGCTAGAAGAGTTAGAGCACTGAGTCCAATCTTCTGCTCAATGCAAGAATCCAGTGGCTAACTTGCCTTCATCTGAACATATTCAGTGAAGGAGAGCTCAGCACCTTCCTTTGATATATTGCCAAACTGTTCTTACTGTTTTTTCCCCCTAATATTCAAACAGGATCTGTCTTCCTGTAGCTTTCTATATCTTACTAATTCCATATCTTGAAACAATAGAGAACAGGTCTTGACCTTCTATATTTTACCAATCAAATATTTGAAAAGTGCTAACCTATGTCTTCTCAAGTCATCTTTTCTCAACGATAAACAAACCAACTCTCCTTAGTCTCTCTTCATAAGAACTGCTTCTAGTCCTCCGTTCATCCCTGTTGACCTTCTTTGCACTTATTCCAAATTGCCTGAATGTTTATTGAAGTCTGGTGCTTAGAACTGGAATTATACTCAAGGTGAGATTTCAGCAATACAGAATACAATGAAATGATTAATTCCTATACCCTGGAAAACTTACCACAGTCCACACAGTCTTCTATCAATATGCTCTCAAATTGCATTTGTCTTTTTAACAGCTGCAATGTAACTGCTGATTTGTATTCAGTTTAAAAACAATTTCAATTAAAAAATCTTTTTCATATATACTGTTACCAAGGTAGGTAGTATGGATTTGATTTTTTTTCCTAAGTACATTTAGCAAGATTTTATTTATGTCTCCTAATGAAGAATTTTGCAGTTAACCATATTAAATTCCATTCTGTTGTCCATTTCTATATCCTATTACAATCATTCTGAATTTTGTTTTTGAATTATAGATTAGGTAATCCAAAGTTTTTATTATCTGCAAATCTGATAAATGTTCCCTCCAGCCTTCCTCCTTCCTTGATGAAAATGATGAAGAATATTGGGCACAGGATCAACCCCTATGGCACCTCATTTGATACATTACTCCAGTTTCATAAGGAAACATTAATGAGCACTCTCTGGATATAGTTATCAAGACAACTGCAAATATACTTAATAGACATATCTAATTAGCTTGTTAATCTAACATCACAGAGAAGTTTATTACATACTTTTCTGAAGTTCAGATATATTCCCAATACTCCCATAATCTATTAAATAAGTTATCTGATTTAAAAAAATGAAATAAGATTACTCTGGCAAGACTTGTTCATGATAAAGCCATGCTGACTTCTAATAATCATTATTTTCAAAATGCTTATAGATTGGTTGCATTATGATTTGCTTTAGAGCCTTCCCAGATATTGATACCAGACTGACAGGTCTGTAGTTCTGCCTTCCTTTTATTCCCCCTTTGAAGATAAAGATAATTCCCTTTCTCCAGTCAACTGGCACTTCACCAGTTCTTTAGCATTTCTCAGAGACAATAGACATGAGTTTAGCCAAAACTGATATATATATGGATTCGATTCCTTGAACTCATTTAAGTTCTGAAGATATTAATTACACTATGTAATGAAGACTGAGTCATATTGAAATACTAGTTCGTATTAGTTTTAC